TCTGGAAATAAGTGAGCGATTCAGCCTTTTATCTAAAGAACAAATGGCATTAGACTTCAGTAATTTCATCTAGCTGATTGAAGAAAAAACTGAGGAACTACTTCCTCCCCACCCACCATTATCCCTTACAAAAATAAGCAAACTTCTTAATTAAGATCCTGCTTACATTTATTTTCAAGGTTATTCTGGAAAACAGTGTGGGAGAAGGAGCTCTGGACTAGGATTTGGGATGGGCCTCAGAAACCTTAAAGAAATTGTTCAAGCTCTCAGATTCAGTTTCCACTTCTGCCAAATGACAATAATACCAGGCAACTTCTTAATCAAATGCTAAGTTGTTTTGGGGCTTTTTTTGCCTATAGTTTATATCTCATGCCTCTAAGCACAAGATGTGACACAAAATAGGTTTTTTTATAAAAAAAGTTTTAATAAAGGTAGAATTTTAAAAACATCTTTAAAGTTATATATAAAAATATATATTGTTATGTAGTTATTGAACATAATTTTATGCTTTTAAAGGAGAAAGAGAAGTTTTACAATAAAAGGATTTGAAAGATACGATTAAAGGAGGCAAGAAAAAAGTATATCTAGTGCTGAGTAGTAACTAGAACCCGCCCCTCAAAAATGGGTAATGTCTCCCACATCTATCTAGGGCACTGGTAGGCTGAGGCCACAGGGCTGTTAACCCTCACCTATTCCTGTCCTTTATCCTTGAGGTTTGCTCTGGGCTTGTCTGTCTTCTAGGCAGGAAAACTAGCATCCCCCAGTACTCTAATTCTAACCGTACCTCAGACTCCAGAGGAACAATTCTGTCTTTTGACTCTAGTCTAGGGAGAAGTAACAAGGTGCCCAGAATACAATTATGTGTCAGGTATGAAAGTTTTCTTTCCACACAGGAAGGGAAATGCTAAGCAATAACAGTGGAATAATTGCAACCAGTTGAGAGACTAGCTAGCATCTCAGCCTCATAGAGACCCTTGCAGCATTGGTCAGTTTACTTTTCACCTCAGCTGATGACGACTCACGGCCAAATAGGCTTTTTCTCCCCATCACCCCCTTCTCTGGGCGACTCTCTCCCTTTCTGACAGTCTGCTCTGCCAGTGTTTCCACTGAAACTGCTTCAGTAGCTGATACCCCACCACTCAGGTGCCCAGAAAGGAGAGAAGATGCCCGTTGCTTTTGAGATCTCACAAGGGCTTGCATCAAAAGTAAACATAAACTGTAGGTGACCCCATCCCAGGCGCAGGCTTGCCTAGAAGGCTATGTGCTTAAGGGGCTGGGGCTGTTAGTGGAGAAATGCTTCCCCCCACTGACCTTACTGAGCTCAGAGAGTCTTCATGGCTAGGAGAAAGAAGGGCTGAGGGTCAGGGATTGTCCTTTTACTGTAGCCTTGGAGTTCTGGCTCTGTAGCTAATTAAAAGTGTCATCATGACAAAAAGGAAGCAAATAGAGGATCTCGGTACCTACTCTTATATTTATTCATCAAGCATGCCCTGAATATAAAGGATAATGGATAAAAGTGTAAAGGAAAGGAAAAGGGAGAAAAAGGCCTGAATTATAGGAAGAGAAAGAGGGGGGAAAGTGTGCATTAGAGAGAAGAGAGAAAGGGGTGAGTTTTTTTTTAAAGGGGGAATTTTTTCAAAGGGTATGAATGGTGAGAAAAAGGGACTGGATAAGGGAGAGAGGCCACCAACCAAATGAACCCAACAACCCCTCCCTTACTCCTTTCCTAGGCAGAGTACCCAAACCTCTTGACCTATTGTTCAACCTTCATGCCTTTGATATTCTATTCCAGCTATCTTTATCATTTGCCCACAACACTGTAGGCTTTCAAGGGCTTTAGCTCCCTGGTATGAGGGTGTGGTGGCTCTTTAGTATGTTATGAGGTAATTATGAGAAGGCTGCAGTTTGGGGAAAAAGAAGGATGGATAAGGTCCGGGAATTCTGTTAGTAAGGGCTGTCATTAAGGAAGAGAGACCCAACAACCAACAAACCTTTATTAATCAGTCAGCCAGTCAGGCAATAAGCATTTATTAAGCACCTACTATGTGGCAAATACTGTACTAAGTGATGGGGATACAAAGAAAAGTAAAAAACATGGTCCCTGCCCTTAAGGAGCTCACTTTCTAATGGGGTGAGAAACATGCAAATAACTGCAGGATATGTACAGGTTAATTTTGCATCTACTATATGGTGCATACAACGGATTTAATAGCTTAAAAGTGCACTAAGACTTTTGGTATACCTTGCACTATATGAAATAATACCAAAATATAAAATAGGAGTTAGCTTGATGGAGTAGAGAGGTGAGGAAGAAAAGATAAGGCAGGAGAAGGGAGGAGAATGGGGGTGGGGAAAGAAAGTGAAAAAAGGGAAAGAATAAGTGTTCAGGGAAGACAGAAGGCAGTGATGGGGCAGTGAGAGGAAGCTTCCTAGAAACAGTAGTAAAAGACATCTTTAGAAATTTGCCGGCCTTGGAGTCAGAAAAACCTGAGTTCAAATGTGGTCTCCGACCAGACACTTGACACTCATTAGCTGTGTGACCCTGGGCAAGTTACTTAACCCCAATTGCCTTGCCAAAAAAAAAAAAAGGAAGAGAAAATAAATTTGAGTGTAAGTGAATTTTAATTTATTTAATACAAGGTGATCTTCCTATTTAAAGGAAACTTGGAGGGTATCAAATTGTTCTGGAAAATGAAGGGGTCTCTTCTTCCCCTACTTTGCACTAATTTTTTAAAGGCTGTTATATAGCTAATCTAAAGCTGAGGGTGAGAGGGAGGGAGGTATTGGAAGGGAAGGGACCTATGAGAAACAGGTGCCCAAAGCAGGTGTGCCTGTGCTCCAACAGTTGTGAATGCGAAGGGACCTTAAGGCCAAAAAAAAGTTCAAGAAGTTACAGCAGCCTCCATGTTTTAGTGCTCACACTGAAAATTGTTAGGTGCCTCCAGGAGACTCTTTGAGGCTTTTCTTTATACATCTCTCTGTCCCTCCAAGTTCAAAAACAAATGATGAAGCATAGGATCTGATGATAATACACACACACACTCTGGAAAATCATAATTATAAATATATAATATAAATACATAAATATAATACATAAAATGTAAAAATTATAATAATTAAAGGCGTTGTGAGAATTTTTAGGGTCCTTGATAGGCACTGGACAAATAAACCAGCACGGGATACAGACAGGTGTGTCTCATAATTCCATTTGACATTTATAGATATAGATTTATATAGAGGGGGGAGAAGTGTCTATCTATAGCTATACCTATATCTATATATCTATATTTTTTGTCTCTCCTCCAGAATGAGTTTGGGTAAGATTAGTTAAGGCATGTAGGCAGGCTTACAAAAAGCATTTTAGGGTGAAAGCACAGGGGTCACATGTTTTTTAGGAACATTTGTTATAATAATCAGTTAGTTAATTAGCATTTGTTAAACTCCTCCAACATGCCTTTTTAAACTGGATAAAGAGATGGGAATGAGTTTGTAGGAACTATTCAAAGTCCTCTGGATGGTTTCTGGGGTTTTTTTTGTTTGTTTTGTTTTGTTTTGTTTTTTTGTAACTGCAAAGTGGCTAGGGGAAGGGAGATATTGAAGGAGACAATCAGTACATTCTGTTTCATAGAAAAAGAAATATAACAACCCCAAATATAGCACAACAGCAAATGTTTTCTTTCCCACCACCTGTTGGGGAAAAAAATCTCTCCCCATTGATTAGGCTTCCCTCTTTCCTAACATTCACAGACAAATTCAGGTTAGGTGGCTGCCTAGTTGTTGTAGTTTTCAATGCCATAAAAATGAGAATAAGTTAAAGGGATAAAGCTTTTAAATGCCAGCTGCTTTGGTTACCAAGAAGAAGGGACAAAATAATTCTTTTCTCTTCCACTCTTCCAACTGAGATGGAAAAGAGACAGTACGTGAGGGTTCCCCACTTTAGGAAGGAAGAAAGGCACTATGGACTAGGTTTATGCATCTCATTGAACCCGGAGTCCGCTGGTTCCTTGCTTCTATGTCCATAACTGGTCAGCACACCTCACACTGCTCCCAGTCTCTGAACCTCTGCTTCTCCTTGGCTCATAGCTCTATTAAGGCTCTAGTCCTAGGTTTCTCATCAAAATGATCCTCTGCTTCTACCCACCCATGCGGCCCAACAAGCAAGAAGAGGGTCCCAGCCAACATGGATGCTAGCCAATATGAAGTCTCAAAGTAACATTCCTTCTCCCTTCTCAGTGTGTCCTTCTGGCTGGCCAGACTTCTCTGTGAAAGTCCCTCTAAGGTAAAAAACCACAGAAACTTGGGGAACTGCCAGCAGGAAAACAGTTGTGGCCCACCAAAATTTCATGGTAATGACTCTAGGGGTGGGTCAATCAGCATCGAGATAAGGGCTACCCAGGTTTGCCTATAGTGGGATATGCCTGCACTAGGCAGAAGGCGTTGGGAAGTTTGGAACCAAGCTGAGAGATAAGAGATGACCTTGTTGGGGAGCTTGCAGTGTCTTGACTCTATTGGGGTAATCCATTGGTAATGATCAGTGGAGTGATTGGACATAGGTGACTTAATGGGGAACCTCTCTGAGAGAAGAGACATCTGTGGGCACTAAACAGAGAGATGATGTAGAGAGGCAGTTTCCGCTCCCCACTCGCATAACACATTGTGTTTTCTATTTCTGCACCCACCCTATCTCACAGGAACTCTCCTGCCCCAGCTTGATCTCTCTTCCTTCAATGTTTGTGTTAGAGAGGCTGACACTAAGAACAAAACTATGTCTTGCTTGAGGCAGCTGAAAATGAGAGTGGTTAGCCTTTGACCTGGAGCAAGTCACAGGAGGCCCTTAGAGGGCCTCCATTTCCTTCCACACAAAATGAGGGGGGGTTGAACTAGACAATCTTCAAGGCCCCTTCCAGCTCTGACATTCTAGGATTCCAAGCCAACACTTGATAAGGAAAGTGAGTTCAGGGGCATGAGGCACAGAGAGGAGAATGAGATGCTGGCTGTCCATGTTGCCTGGTGAGTCTGGGTAGAAGCTAGGCCTTGGGCTCCAGCCCAGCCCTCTCCCCTCCCATAGTGCAAGCGTCCTGCCCGGCTGCTCTGGGACATGGGATCTGTGATCACATTGTTCAGGACTGGATCAGATTCCCTAGGCTCCTCTCTCTGGGGCTGGCAGGCAGCATAGGTAACTGGAGCAGTGTGAGAAAAAAAAAAAAGCCCAATCCATTAGGCCACCCAACCCCACCCAAAGCAGAGGTGAGTCACATCAGTGAAGATCCCCCTCCCTCTCTCACCCCAAATCCCAGGGGTGCCAAGCAGGGAGTAATCTTCCCCCCTTCAAACTCACAAAGAATCTAGGATTCTCATCTCCCAATTCCCAAGAGTGTCCCCCCAAGCTCCATTTTCTTCTTGGAACTCTGTGTGTGGTCCTGACCCACCAGTTCTCATCTCCTAGATTCTGTCCTGCCTGCTTCATTGTACCCACCCCCTTCAGAAAGCAGATGTCCTGCCTTCTACCTCTAGTAACCAGGTTAGCTTGGCCCTATTCTCTCTCCCCCCACCCCCACACCCCGCTTCTTTGAGATGCATCCGGCCTTGGGGTGGGGCACCCAAACTCCCCACTGTCTTCCAGCCCCAGTACCTCTCCAATTCCCCGGGATGGGCTAAAGCCAGGGAGGGTGGGGCTATTCCTCAGGCCAGTAGGAGCTGCCCCAGGCAGTGGCTCTTCAGATGCTAGAAGGGGAGAGGTCTGCTTTTCCCCCCAGAGCTCTGGTGTCCCCAGACCCAGCAACGTGATGTTCTCAATCCAGCTCCTTCTCCTGCTACTGGGTAACTATTGGTATTGGTGGACAGTGGGGAGCAGTCGGTCACCAGAACTGGAGAGGATAGTCATGGGCAAATGACCTAAGATCCCAGGAAGTAATAGTTCTCTTGGGTTAAGAAATTTACTAGAGTTCTAGGAGGGAAATTGGATGCTTAAGGGCCAGGATGCCTGTGGAAAGGGAAATTGGGGAATTAGGAATACCTAGTAATACTCTTGACGTCCTGGGAGAGCATTTAAATTTTAGCATGAAGATGAAAATGATGTGGAAGAGAGGTGCGGGAGGAGGGCTATAGTATGAAAGATTTAACTTAGCGAGATTTTTCTTTGCTATGTCTTCCAGCCCTCTACCCCACCCCAGGAAAAACACAAGATCTAGGTAAGAGAGAGGGGCTAAAGTCTGAAGAGCATGAGGAGGACAGAGTGTAGAGTTGGGAGGCTGGTGGTCTTGGGTGGGCAAAAACCCTCTGTCCTTGGAAAGAGCAGAAGCAGGATAACAGGGTCACTGTGAACTGCAGTAGGAGTTGGAATGTCTTTCACTGTTATCTCCCTAGCCTTAGCCCTCTCTTATATGTAAAGGAGACCCAATAGCCAGTGGCCTGAGAATGCAGGGGAGTGGGCTTCTTTGCAGATCATTGGCTGGGGCATGGGGGGGGGCATGTGAAGTGGGTTGCTGTTGGCCCAAAGGGCTACATGAGGTTTACAGAGGGGCTGGACAGGACAGGGGATTGGGAGACTTTATCTTGAGTTCCTCTTCCAGAGTGTGGTCGAAGCCGCCCCCAGCCCCGTGTTGTGGGTGGCTCTGATGCCATGCTGGGAGACTGGCCATGGCAGGTGAGTCTGCACAAATACGGCATGCAAATCTGCGGTGGCTCTCTCATTACTGAATCCTGGGTCATTTCTGCTGCCCACTGTGTGGTAGAGTAAGTATATAATCTGCACTATTTCCCCTAGGCTCATGACTGACTGTGCTGACCCTTTGCTCCCTTCTCTTAAAAGGTCCCAGTCCTTACTATGCCAGAAATAGCTTGACTCTTATAGGCAATACAAAGCATGAGTACCATGCTTCTCTCTTTCCCCAAGGTCCATGCTTCCACATGAACTCTGGTCCCTAGAGTTCTTTACAGCTAAGACTGGGTCATATATATCTTGGCCAGATTTAAACCTGCCTCTCTAAATAGCCCATATTCCTCCTCCCCTTAATGTTTTTTTTTCAAATTTATCAGTCAGTCAAACATCTATATAGCACAAAGTTTCCTCCTGAGTAATCAGTTCTATAGAGGGTTCTTGATTGTACTAAACCAACTGCAAGTAGCAGGATTACTCTATGACAGCCTCTCTGGGTAAAAATCATTTGCACTGCCTATCAGACTTAGAAATCTTAATTAACTGTGGATTATATAGTCACTCAGGTTGTGAGTGGTAGATCATTACTCACAAACCCTGTTTCTTTGACTCCAAATCCATTACTTTTTACCATTTACAGTGTGTAGAAGAGTGGACCTGCTCTCCTAGGTGGATCCAACCTTCTTAATCATTCACCTTCCTTTTTCCAGGAATGGCACTGTGAGTCCACCAGAGGAATTTTTAGTGGTCTTGGGCTTGTACTCTCTGGACCTGATACAGTACCAGGGACAGTACCGGAACATAACAGAAATTCTGATTCCCAGTAATTACACCATGCCACACCTAGGGAGTGACATTGCCCTGTTGCGTCTGGCTGAACCTGCCAACCTCACAGAATCTGTACAGACCATCTGCCTTCCCCAGGCCAATCACCACTTCCCCCAAGGAGCCTCCTGCTGGGCAACAGGCTGGGGAGACATACAGGAAAAGGGTGAGTCTTTAAAAAGGGTGGTAAATCCAACTCTTCAGGACTGCCTAAAAATTGCCTGCTTCCTTTCATTCCTTCTCATTTCCCCCCTTCTCTCCCCTGGCCCCATCCTTCATAAACCCCTTCCCCTTCGCTCTATTCCCATTTTTTGCAACTAAATTAGGCATCTCCCTTCTGTCTACCCTGACTTTCTATCTCCAGTATAGCAATTAAGAGCAAAAGATCGGGCTTAAGTCTTGGCTCTGATACTGGCTGTCTGTGGGCTACTTCATTACTCTAGCCTTCAGTTTCCTCATTGTTAAATGAGGTAAAAAATATCCCTTAGGGTTATTGGGAAGAAAATAGTTTGCAAATTACTGCTATTGTCTATGAATCCCATTTGTTTACATTACTGTGAATGCCATTATGCTTCCCTCCCATTTCCCTTGCTAGCCCCCTTTCCAAGGCTCACTGGGATTCTCACTGGGGAGATAGTCAACAATCAGATGACATATCAGGAAAAAATGGTGACCTTACTCTAGACAATTAAGGTTCCTGTTGATTTTTTTTGTTGTTGTTAGGGATTGTTAGGGGAAACACTGGAATTCAGGAAGGACAAGAGCATGGATTTAGGGTATTGTTGGAAGTGGTAGTGAATGAATACATTGTCAGAATAAAACTTGCAGGTGTCTGATCCTGTGACTGAAAGAATATTATGCAGAGACAGAAAGGCTGAAAGGCATGGATCGAGTTACTGAAATAGCATTTTAAGGTTTACTAAGTGCTTTAAGATGGTACAAGTATTGTCATTCTAAGATGAGCAAATAGAAGATGTGAAGTGGTTAGCTTTTTACCACAGGTAGCTAGTGAATGTCCAAACTGGTCTAATCTAATTATACTGCGATGTACTTGGGCAGGTCTGAGTTTAAAATAGAGGTAGGACATATCGACAGAAATTAAGAGATTTGAGTCTGGAGCTTATAGAGGGGTTGGGGATGGGTTATATAGATTTTAAGAATGACTTACCTAGAAGGGCATAATTTTAAAGCTATGAATGTAGGGAGAGAAGAGAGCAGGAGATGAGCATCTTTTTCCCTCCTTTCTACCTCTTAATCCATCCCCCAAATTCCCTCACCTTCTAGTCCTCATCTTGGGAATTGCCCTTCCCCCACAGAATGGCTGCCCTCACCACAGCTGCTGCAGGAAGTGGAACTAAGGATTGTTGGAGAGTCAACCTGTCAGTGTCTCTTAAACTCCAATGGCCCCTTCAATGAAACAGTGCAGCTACTCCCAGGGATGCTATGTGCTGGCTTTAAGGAAGGCAAAAAGGACACCTGCCAGGTAAGAGGGGGACATCTCCCTTGCTGTGCCACAATTCATTATCAAATGCCATGTAGAATTTTTTTTCAAGGCAATTGGGGTTAAGTGACTTGTCCAGGGTCACACAGCTAGTAAGTGTCAAGTGTTTGGTGTGAGGTCAAATTTGAACTCAGGTCCTCCTGACTTCAGGGCTGGTGCTCTGTCTATCCACTGTGCCATCTAGCTGCCCTTCATAGGATATTCCAATCCATGCACTTGGGGATATTTTCTGATTGTCCAGTCAGGGTTAAGTGACTTATCCAGGGTCACACAGCTAGTGTCTTTGAGGCCTCCTTTGAGCTCAGTTCCTCCTGACTCTAGGGCTGGCACTGCATCCTCTGCCCTGCCTAGCTGTCTCCATGCCTTGAGTTTTCCAGGTAAACTGAAGCTACACTTATATCTCGGGCTCAGTGCTCAAGTTTCCTCATCAGCAAAATGCGAATAATACTTGGGCTGCCTATCTCACCAAGTTGTTGGCAAATCTTAAGCAGTATGGAATGTGAAGGAGTCTCTTATCTGACTTACTCTTATCAAAAATAATGAAGAACAGTAATGAAACCTTAAGGGTTCTCTTTGCATGCTTTAGTTAAATATATCATTAAACATCTGACCCTAGGGCGCTCATAGATTTACTACAATTTAGGATAGTATTTTATTTTCCTATGGATTTATCAGCACCTTGAACCTGCATTCTAAAATCTCCAGGGCTTTCAGCAAAAGCATACTTTTTCTTTTCTCCCCACCCCCCCCAAGAGAACCTTCTTGCAAACATAGCCAAGCAAAACAAAATTTCCAAATTAGCACTCTGTGCTGAGCCTTCCATTTCTATTAGGAGGTAGGGAACATTTTCATCATTAGTTCCCTGTCATCTGTTGATCATAGACTGGTAGCTGGAAGGGATCTTGGAAGTTATCAAGGGTAATCATAATCCTCTCATTTTACAGATGAGCAAACTTGCTTGGCCCTGGTGTCAACAAAGTATCCCTCTCAGCTTTGTGTTGGATATCTGCAAAATTGACATAAGCAGCTTAATACATACAAGTTGTTGACTAAAATAACAAGACAAATGAGACAAACTAAGTCAAATCAGTGCCCTTTCTAAGATAAGGTCCCCTCTAACCCTAAAGTCAATATCCACAGGGAGACTCAGGAGGTCCACTGGTCTGTGAGGAGGCAGGCCAATGGTTCCTGGCTGGAATCACCAGCTTTGGCCATGGCTGTGCGAGGAGGAACCGGCCAGGCATCTTCACAGCTGTGGCAGCTTATGAAGACTGGATCCGAGAGCGAGTGTCTGGCGCTTCCTTCCCTGAACAACCCGAGCCTGTCACACCAGATATGCCAGAGGAGCCCCCTAACAACTGCACCCTTGCCTTGCCACGTAAGCAATGAAATCGGGGTGAGGAGAGGGTGACCTGAATTCTGAGCTGGGGGAATAGGAAAGTTTGAGACTAATAGTCTCCTACACCTTCTTCTGACCATAGAATGTGGGAGTGCCCCCCGACCTGGTTATTGGCCCTGGAAGGCTATTATAGTTGCCCCAAGATCCAATCCCTGCCATGGGGTGATGGTATCAGAGAACTGGGTCCTAGCACCAGCCAGCTGCCTTCTGGGGTGAGTAATGTTACAGGTATCCTCTTAAGGGGTTGTCAACAAGTCCTTTCAGAGAATCCTGAAAGACAGAATGAATCTATAACAAGAAATCCTTGAGTTGAGGGTACAGGTCATAGAAAATGGAATTGATGGGCATCACCTTGGGTAGCACAATGGGACAATGTCTGAATTGACAGAGATGGGATGCCTTGGTTTGAACAAATGTCTTTTTTGTCCCTTGGACAGCCTCCAGGACCTAAACATTAGCAACTGGGAAGTGATCCTCCCCAATGCAAAAAGTGTACCTGTTATCCAAGTCACGTTAAATAATAACCACACACTGCATTATGGCTATGACCTGGCCCTTGTGAAGCTTGAAGTGTCTGTAAACTTGACAGAAGAGACAAGACCTGTGTGCTTGCCCCAGTCATATCACTACTTTGTGCCTGGAGGCCATTGCCATCTGGCCCAATGGGGTCCTGGAGGTGAGTCCTGAGCAATACAATTCCCTTCCCTCTCCAGACCCAGTTGAGGGAAGGGAGCATGGCAAATTGTCCCCATCATCAGCCTCAGCTCTACTTTCTCCTTTGCTCTTCCTAGTGCCACTCTCGGTCAATAATTCCTTGTTGGAGGCTGAAATGATGACAGCGTGGTGGTGTTATTGCCTCCATGGTGAGGAGTTGGAGGAAGTGCCTATTCCTGGGATGAACCCTAGAATCCTGTGTGCTGACTACCAGGAGGAGGAGAAGAGCAGCTGTTGGGTGAGGGAGGGTTCTGCTTAGGGCAGCCAATCAACTGGGATCTGGGGATCCTGGGAGATGAAAATATTTGAAGAAACTGAAGGGTGAAGAGATGTTTGTGGTCCCAGAGATACACCCTTGCACTTTGAACTTGGAACTCCATCTCCTAATAACCTCTACTCATTTCCCAGTTTGGGAGCTGCTGGAGTCTCCTATGCCAGGAATCTGGGACCTGGTTTCTGGCAGGTGTTTCTGCGCCCACAGACAGTTGTCTTCGGCCTCGGGTCTTCTCCCCAGTGCAACTTCACGATCACTGGATGAGACATGTCACCCTTACTGCCTACCTAGAGGATCAACTGGCCTGGAACTGGGGAACCGTAGTGGATGAAAGGCTCTGTCCCCCCAAAGCCGATTATGGAGGTCAGACCCAGACTCCACCTTCAAACACTCCAGGGCCATAGGAAGCCCTCCAGCCCTTCAGTGATGGGATGGGGTGGGGTGTGGTTATTACCTAGTGGTGCAGTGAGGGAATTCACTGGTTCCATGGGATTCTTGTGAGTGGGGAGGGCTCAGTCAAGTGGTGAGGGGGATATTCAGCTATTTCATAGTGAAGAACTAAGTATTTCCTTATGGATTCATTGGTTTCATGGGTGGGGAGTATTTTAAGGGGTGGGACTCAGTAATTTCATGAGAGGGTTAGGAGACGACTTAACTGGTGAAAGACACTAATTGGAAGATAAGCAATTCCATAGGTTGGAAGAATTAGTGGTTCTATAGGGGAGGGTGAGCTGTGTGGACTTAGGGATTCTATTGGAAGGAGAAAGTCAACTGTTCAACAGTAGACTCAGCTTCATGGGGAACTGATAATAAAGGTTTCATTGGTTACATGGAGGGAGGTTCCATGGTTGGCAAGTTGGAGAAAGATAGGGGTTCCATAAATGGAGTGGGATTCAGGGTTTCTACAGGGGAGGGAAGAAGGGACCTATGGTTTTAAGAGGAAGGAAATTTGAGTGCTATATCTGCAGAGCTTATTAATGATTCCATAAGGAGATGGGAATTAAATGGTTTCAGTGGTTCTAGGAAGAGAAATCAATCTTCCAGCTTTGAGGACTAAATGGCTGCCTATGGAATGTGCTTTTTTTCTTAGCTTGTGGCCTTCGACCAGAGGTGTGGGAAAAGAGTAATCCATGGCCCTGGATGTCAGAGGTGCATGGGACCAGAGGTGGAGCTTGCATAGGCAGCCTGGTGAGCCCTGGTTGGGTCTTGGCAGCTACTCACTGTGTCAGCAGGTAGGTCACTACGAGGAATTCTTGGAGTTCCAGTTCTCACTGGAGAGGGGTACAAAACTGAAGAGTTCTATTAGAAATGCAATGTTCAGTGATTCTATCAGAGATGCAGTGATTTCATAGGGAAGGGAAATTCAGACAGCCCTGGACAAACAGGATGGATAGAAAGCAGAAATCTCAAGAGCAGTTGAGACTTTTATACCCCAAGATTGAAAGAAGGGAAGATCCTTTTGTAAAATACTTTGAAGCTGGAGGGGAGATGCCCAGAAAGAATATTGCAGGGGCTAGCAAATTGACCCTGACTGGATAGTAGAAATAGACTGTGCCCAGTTCCATAAGGGGTGGGGAAGGATTTTAGCAATAGGTAACAACCAAACTCTGGACTCTGCAACAGGCAGGCCTCCACAGCAGCCGGTCTTCAGGTTTACCTGGGTGCAACAGGGTCCGGACCCATTGCCAGGTTTCAAGGTCAGTCATCAGCATTCGCTCGCCCAACAGTATGGGATCCAACCATTCCAACACATCCTTAGTCCTCCTGAAGCTAGAGACCAAGGTGGAGTCCTCCCCCTCCGCCCTGCCTGTCTGCCTGCATTCTGGACCTGCCCCAACAGAGACAAGCTGCTGGGTGCTGGGCTGGAAAGACATCTCAAACAGAGGTGAGCAAAGCCAAAGTAGTACTTTTAGGGCCTAGGGCCATATATCCTTTTATCTTTGGAGGGGAAATGCCTCTCAATACATAGCTAAGTGCTGGTGGGGTTGAAGAAATACTCAGGACATTTGTTTGGGGAAGGAGGATGATGGGGTTGGGTGACTGAGGGGCTGGAATACTCAACACCTTCAGTAAGGGAGTAAGGATTTATGGGAGAGATTATTCCCTTGTCTCAAATCCCGCTGTTGGAGAGATGACCTTGAGTTGAGTCCCTTGCCAGTTCTGATGCTCTTATGGTTTTCTCACCCCAAGTGCCCTTGGCTGTTCCAGTCAGCATCTTGTCCCCTGAACGATGCCACTGCTTTTGTAAAAAGAATGCACTGCCCTCTGGAACCATCTGTGTCCAATATTCCAAGGAAATAGAGGACAGACCTGAGGTATGATTGAAAGGTCAAGAGATGGGAGTGAATCCTAGAGAAATTAGTATTGGGGAGGTATATATAGCACCAGAATGCTTTGGGTTCAAAAGAGGACAGATCCAGGGGACAGAACCTGGGGGCTGGAGGAACAGGACTTGTAGAGTACTATGTCAGAAAACCTAGGGTCAAAAGTCTACACTTATGTGCCTTGGATGACTTCACCTCAGTTCTTGTAAGGAAAAATGCTCTTAAGTCTTAAAATTGCTTTATTAATACAAGTTATCCAAATTCTCTCCTAGATGGATTCAGGATCATCTCTCCTATGCCAAGAAGAAACTGGCGTCTGGGTCCTGGTTGGCCTATCCCTGAAGGGAAGCCAGCAGCTTTTTGCGCCAGTGGGAACCCAGTACTCCTGGATCTCCCAGATTGTGGAGGAGGCATCCTTTATGACACAGTTTAGGTTCAGTCCAGTCTTGGAGGAGACCAGTGGCCTTTGCCCTCCAGACCTGAGCAGCTCTGCAATACTTCCAAAAGCTGCCCTTCTACTGTTCTTACCTCTGTTTCTACTACTCCGACTTTGAGGGCAAGGGGAGAAGATGCAAATGTCCCTGTTTCTCTTCCCCTCCCCATCTGCCTTTGCTGGAATGTGCCCAGACAGGTTCCTGGGAACCTCGAAAGCTTCCACACGTACACACACACCTCCAAGGAGGGTGACTTGATTGACTGAGATGATGACGGAACTGCTCAACCCTGGGTGTCTAATTGGACTTGCGTTCCAACCACTGCTAATTTGAGCCAAAGAATCCTGGGGGTGGAATGAATACCTGGGTAATAAACACAATGCCAACATTGCCAGGGGCTGCTTCATACCTGATGCCTGTGGGAGAGTGGGGGAAGCACCCAAGGGCTAAGAACATTACATTCGAGGGAGAGGGGTGAACCTTAGTGGTGCTTGAAGTACTTCAAGATGGGAAGAAGTAAGCTTGCAGGGGACTTAGGGACATGCTAAGGAGGGGATTCTTAAGCATTATCCCTAGGAAGTCAGAGCTTAGAGCAATGGAAGAAACACACAATCTGGCATCTTGAGTGGGCCATAAGGAGAGAAGCCTGGATAGAGAGTCTAGTGATCATTTTAAGAGTGGAGCCCAGGACTGGTTATTTCTGAGGCCCTGGGGATGTTTGGGTCCAGAGCAGGCCACACACACAGGTGCCAGAGGTTTGAGTCAGGAGCAGGGCTGGAAGAGAAATTTGTAGCTGATAACGTGGCAGCTGCCACTCATTCCTGCCTGCCTGGGCAGGGTGTGCCCAAGGTCAGCTGGGTGTTTGTCACCAGCAGCAATGGAGCACTAGTTTCCCTGTCCCCTCCTAGGTGTAGATGTTCTGATCTCCCTCCATCAACTCCTCAGATTTGATCTAAATGTCCCTGTGTCCTTGCAAAAAAAAAAAAACAGCCCTGAAACCTCTACATTGGGAGTAGGAACCAGAGAGAACACACTTGGACCACTTCCTAGTTCAGAACTGCTTAGAACTATATTTTCCCAAATGTGTCTCATATCCTGAGATAAATTGCAGAATTATCAACTGTCAGCACAGCAACATTACTTACTAACACTGCTTCCCAGTCACCTTCATGGGTCAGGACTTCCCAGGAATGCCCCTCCTGACTCTGGGAACTGAGTTGGGTGGCAGCTGTACTTAAAAGCCCAAATCCTGGCTCTCCTGGGGAACTCCTTAGAAGTAGCTGGACACTGATTGGTTGGGTAGGACTCACTCTATGAAATCTTTCACAGAAAGGAAGAAATTTAGATAGGTATAGAACGTGGTGCGATCACACAAAAGACAGACCCTCATGCCCCAATCAACCTTTTCAGACACAGCTGGTCAGGGTCAGGTTTTTATTGTTTTCAGGCCATGGTCTTGGTCACAGGTAACTGGGCAGATCAGATCTCTCAACCTACTCCACCATGAAATCTGTTCCCCAATGTTCTCCCTGACCATTGGACCTTCTGTCCACGTTTATTCCTGGGGTTTCTGCGCAAAGGAGATCTTGCAAAGGCAGTGGTGAGGTTACAGAAGCCCAGGTGTTCAACAGTTTGGTTTTGAACTACGTAGGAATGTAGGGAAAGAGGCTTAAGTAGTTTACACCAACTACCCTACCATAAATGTTTCCTTGGGCACCAAGTGTAGGGAGAAGTAAAAGAAAAAGCACTTCACAGGTCCTTTTCTCTTGATGCTTGAGAGAAGGAAGGTTTAGATTTGATAATGTGCCAGTTAAAAGATTCAAATGTAAAACAAGGCCTGATTCTGAGAAACAGCTGCTTAGGTACAGAAGGCACTGACCCTAGCCCAACCTCCACCCCTGTCATGCAGAAGAAAGGAGGCGGACCTTGCTCAGGGAGAGGAAGTCCCCATTGGGCTAACCTGGCCAGTGAACAAGAGGTTGGCAGGTAGGGGCGGGGTTGGGCGGGAACAGGTGACACCGGTTACCAGCTCAGCCATTCCAGACCCCTCCCTGAGATACTCCCCAGCGGCTCAACCCCATTCCTTCTCCTCGGGTTGCCAACTGGAAGTTCTCTTACAACGGACAGTCTTACCTGTCCCCTAGGACGGACCTGTTGGGTCAGGGGAAGGCAGGTGCGTCCCAGACTGGGGCCATGAGCTGGAGGATGGGCCTGGGGCCTCAGTGGCCCCTAGCGTTGGTGACAATGCTAAGCTTATTGAATCTGCTACCGCTGGGAAGGGGTGAGTGAAGGCAGCAAGGCTGACAACAGGGAAGTAGGTGACCAGTTTTTCCCCTTCCCCAATCCCTTTCTGTTTCCTAGTCCCTTGGTTTGCCTATTCTCTAGTCTCCCCTTCCCCCTCCCCCCCATCATGGCTGACCTACCCCTTCTTCCAGGTCCTCAGTCTTCCAAATTTTCTACCTTCATCCCATCCAAATATCCCAGACCCCAGCCCTGGCCACCTCCCCTTTCCCGCCCTGCTCATTTTCTCCTTTCTTTGCTTTCAGGGGCTGATGGGAAAGAAGGTGAGAACTTGGGGGAAGGGAAGGGAGGAAAAGGATGGGACAAGAAGGGGAAGGGGAGGAGAAAAAATAAATAGGGGAAAGAAGGACTTTTCTGTTGGAAATGAAGGGGGAAAAGAGAAAAGGAAGAGGGAAATAGAAAAGGTGACAGGAGAGATGGGGGAAGGGAAGAAGAGGGAGTTGGAGGAACCATAGGGAGAACATATGAAGGAAAAAAGGGAAGGGGATCAGGAAGGCAGAAAAAAAAGGGGAAGGGGAAAGGAGAATGGGGAAGGAGGAAAGGAAGTATACAGAGTTGGGAGAGGAAGGGGAGTTTAATTAAGAGTGATAAGGGAAGGGCATACTGAGCAGAGTTGAAGAAAAGAGAAGATAAATGATTGCCCAGATGGTTAGGAAAAGAGTCCCCCCTGGCCATAGCGTCCCTAAACAGCTCCCCCCCCTTTTGCCCTCTTTCAGAAGTTCCCTGTGGCACGGCCTCCCAGGCACGAATTGTGGGAGGTACCAATGCCTCCCCAGGCCAGTGGCCATGGCAGGGCAGCATCATCTACAATGGCATCCATGTGTGCGGTGGCTCTCTTATATCCAAACAGTGGGTGCTAACTGCTGCCCACTGCTTCCCAAGGTTAGACAAGAGTTGGGAGGGATAAGTATGGGGAGGCATGGAGCTGGGAACTCTCGGGGAGGATTTTTGGGAGAGAAATGGAAGGGAGAAAAGATGCTGATTGGATTCAGAAATGGAGGGAAGCAGTGCATCTGGCTTGATTCCAGCTCTCTTCTTCACTTCCCCTCTTCTCAGGGAGCACAGGCTGGAGGACTATGAGGTGAAGCTGGGAGCCCATCAACTCAGCATCCATAGCCCTGATGTAGTGATTAGGACTGTAGCCAAGGTCTTCACCCATCCTAACTATGTAGAAGAGGGCTCCCAGGGTGACATTGCTCTCCTCCAACTGCAGTCTCCTGTGAACTTCTCGAGGTACATCCGTCCTGTTTGCCTACCAGCAGCCAATGCCTCCTTCCCTAATGGACTTCATTGCACTGTCACAGGCTGGGGTAATACACATAGCTCAGGTAAGTTTGCTGTGGGTGTGTGGGTTGCCAAAGCCAGTGATATTCATCAAAGAGATGGGAGAGTTTGGGAGGATGGAGGATTTGATATGTGCCCTTATTATCTCCTTTCGCTGCAGTGAGTCTTCCTAACCCCAAGGTCTTGCAGCAGCTGGAGGTGCCTCTGATTAGCAGAGAGACATGCAACTGTCTTTACAACATAAACCCCGATCCTGAGGAGCCACACATCATCCAGCCGGACATGGTGTGTGCTGGCTTTGTACAAGGTGGCAAAGATGCCTGCCAGGTAAGGGCCTGGTCTTGGGCAGGGAGATACGAGGTTCATGACAAAGAAAGGGAAGAGGACACCTGAGTCCTAAGAAGAAGCAGGGGCTGAAATACTGGATTCTACCTGGCCCCTGATGGGGTGAGCTGCCTGAGACTTTTAGGGGCTTGATGGCCTTCAAAGGAACTGAAAACTGCTGTCCAGGCTTCTCAAATCTACTAGTCGTAGACCGTAGTGGTCACTTCCTTTCTCCTTGCCTCACTTCCTTCATCTATAAAATGATGGAGTAGGACTAGATCTCCAAGGTCCTTCCTGTTCTAACCTTTTTTTTTGGCAAGGCAATTGGGGCTAAGTGACTTGCCCAGGATCACACAGCTAGTACGTTGTCAAGTATCTGGTTTGAGACTGGATTTGAACTCAGGTCCTCCTGACTCCAGGGCTGGTGTTCTATCCACTGCGCTGCCTAGCTGCCCCCCTGTTCTAACCTTTTACGGTTTCTCTATCTCCAGGGAGATTCTGGAGGGCCCCTCTCTTGCCCTGTGGAAGGTCGCTGGTTCCTAGCTGGTGTTGTGAGCTGGGGAGATGCCTGTGGGGCTCCCAACAGGCCTGGAGTCTATACTCTTACCTCCAGCTATGCTTCATGGATTCACCAGAAGGTCTCAGAGATCCAGTCCCACTATGTGCCCCTGACCAAAGAATCCCATTTGGATATGGACCTGTGCAAAAAGGATCTCAGCAAGCTCATCTCAGCCTCAGCCCTCCTGGCCCCAAGCCTGCTGCTGTCCCTCAGTGTGTCAGTCTTTTGTCACCTCCTGCTCTAGAACAGAGCACGATTTCTAGACTTTGCCTGGTTTGGCTGGAGGGCTTAGTCCCTTATCCACTCACTGCCTCCTGGACAACTGACACTTTACTGAGCCCCCCTACCCCAACCCTAGAGGACTGAGACATTCCCTTCTCACTGGGACCTGAAGCTTCAGACTGTGAATTGTGGTCCACCTTTAAAACCAACTGTCGATGGCCTCAAACACTTATTACCTGTGTAACTTGGGGATCAATAACCTCAGCCTCAGTTTCCTCATCTGTAAAATGAGAGGACTGGATTAGATGGCCTCCGAGGTCCCTTCCAGGAGCACTGCCGAGGGACTGACTGGACTTCCTGACCTTTGAGCCAGCTTCTTCCACACCAGGACAGCCATGGTTCTTGGTGTGTGGTTTGGGGCCTTCTTTGAGTTGTTTGTGGCCTGAGCCTTTCCTTACTCTCAGGATTTATGGCTGTTTGTTGTCAAGAGGGCTCTCAGTAGCAACCCTAGTGAACGATCTGGGACTCTTCTGTCTGATGGGCTGGGCCAGGTACTTCTCTGGCTACCACTGGGAAATTCTGCCGCTGTTCTGGAGGACTTGGCCCCTTCATCTGAACCCGTGTCAGGCCCCAGGGTTAGTGGAGACTGGGCATCTCCACAAAAGCCAACCTCAAAGTACTGGTTCTTGTGTTCTGAAGACAAGTACCTTCCCCAGCAAAGAGCAGCTGCATACCCATAACATGGCTCTTCATGAAGGATCAACCTCCTCCACAACTAGCTGACCCTACCCCCACCCCCATCCCAGTTCCTACTGGCGATAACAACTGGTCCTTCCTACACAGGACCCTACCCTGCAGCCACCTGTTATTGGACTCACTCCCTCCTGCTCCACTGCACCCTGGAGGACTGAGCCACCCCTGGGAAGGGGCTGAGGGGTGAGGGTGCGTGTATGTATGTACGTGTGTGTGTGTGTGTGTGTGCGCGCGTGTGTGTGTATATATACGTGTGTGTACGCGCGCACAGGTGCACGCACAGCAAGGGAAGGCAGCACATCAGTCCTATTGAGCAGAATAAACCATTTGTATAAGCAATAGGTGGCCTGTGAAGTCTCAATTAGCTTGTTGATCCCACAGCCCCAGGTACCATTCCTCCCCTTTCTCCCTCCCCAAACAGCCAATTTGGCAATTGTACAGTGACAAGCTTTATTTAAAAAATATTTTAGGGCTTAAAGGTGGGCAGACAAGTCTATACATATTTACAAACTGGGAAAAATGCACCCCTCACAGGTCTAAGGCTGCCAGTGGGGAGGGATGCAGGAAGGTGCAGGGGCATGGTTTGAGCACCATTCACTTCTTGGACAACTTTACTTGCTTGTGCTTGGGTGGTGCCCACTTGAGACAAACTGAGTCCACTGTAGGGGGAAAAAGAGAAAAAAATCAAAGATGGGGTCAGCTGGAACATGGGGTGAGGGGCTGGGAAAGCAAGCAACAACATCCACCCCTTGACAGAGAAGTGATGGACTAGGTACAGAATGAGATGTATGTGTATATATTTTTAACATGGCCAATGGGAGTTTGTTTTGCTTGACTACGCGTATCCATTACAAGGAATTTTTTCCCCCAATGGGGTAGAGGGATAGGAGGAAGAGAAAACAGATTTCTGGTCACTGAAAAAGTAAAACATTTTTTAAAAGGAAAGAAAGCCATCTGGATGTACAGAAGGAAGAACCCTGGACTGAGAGTCAAGAGACTGGGGTTCTAGTTTGAGGAGCCTGCCAGTTCTGATATTCTAAGTTTCCATGAGAGGGAGCCCACGTTTGTACTAGGCCCTGGGCCAAGTTTCAGTGAGCTTAAGTGAGAACAAAAGGGCATATTGAGCGAGGCCTTGAGGGGGAGGGAGAACCAGCCTCCTCCAGAGAGCCGGGTGCTGCTTGCCACTGGTAGACAGGAGCAGGTAGGACCGGTTTTGTGATCATAAGACAGGGGCCAGCTCAGCTGCTGGGGACATAGGAAGCCTTCTGTGGCCAGCAGATGGGAGCCTGGAATCCCCCAGTAAACATGGGCATGTCCAGCTCCACACTCTCTTTCTGACCCCCACTCCCACCCCATGGTTTGGGTACCTCCCCACTACCTGTGATGGGCGGCTTCTTGTACTGGGCACTCTTAAGGTGCTCTTCCACTAGCTTGGGGGTGACACAGATGACATGCTGCCCCTTCCAGTACTTGACCATGTTGAGTGACTGCAGAGTGCTGATGATGTCATTTTGTGTGATGCTGGTCATCTGGCTGTGGTAGTGAGGGTGAAGAGAAGCAATGAGAGCTTAGGGGCTTTCTCTGCACCAGCCCCAGGCACTTTCCCGTGTCCTTGAAAGGGCAGTGGGGGATAGGGGGTGGGGATGGGGAGGAAAGAACGTGGCCGTGTTCCAGTCCATTTGGGGAGCTAGAGAGACAGCATGACACCCTACCTGTCTCCCTCACCCTCTCCTCTGCCCCTCTGGTGATGCTGGGGTGGTAGGAAAGAAAAAGAACATGGCCATCCTCACCTGAGGTCTTTGATGGACAGTGTGCCCCGGAAGTCCCTCAAGATCTCCAGCAGGACCCAGGACCAGTAACTACGATAGCTCAGTTTGCCCAGGTCTGACAGTGGCTTCTCTGGAGAACCCACTGTACTCTCCAACTTCGACAATTCGTAACCTTAGAGATGGGTGGGGTTGAGGATCCTGGTACTCCCACCCCACCCCAGATACACACCCCCTTCCCTCCCTTTCCTATCAAAAGAGGCTCAACTTACTGAAAGCAATGAGGAACTTGCCATAACCTCTGCGCTGATATGGGGGGAGGGTCAGGATACAGGCCACATTATTCCCATCTGGGGACTCCTTCTCCTTCAGGGGCAGGCAGGTAGAGAACTAGTCAGGAAATAGATACTGGACCATCTCAACCTAACACCCAACCCTCCTGTGCCCCATCTGGCACCTTAGAGAAGTAGCCCACGATGTGGGCCCCCTGTCTGTCCACTTCGGTCAAGATGTAGAAGACAAATGGTTCCACATCAAAGTACAAGGTCTTGTGGTCCAGGAAGAGCTTGGCCAATAGACACAGGTTCTGGCAATAAATCTTAAGGGTGGGAGGAAAGAAAGGAATGGGATTAAGGGTCTCCCCCAAGAAACCTCCCTTTTTATAGAGTAATTTAAATCTTTCTAGAATTACAATGAGAGTGGGAAATGCCTTCTGAACCCCCAACCCCCCCTCCCCACTCCAAACAAAAGCCTGCAGAGAAAGGAAACCAGTCTCATTAGTGGATGGTCTCCTAGATGATGCTAATAAAAATAACAGCCACTTAGAGTTGGAGCCCCAGCAGAATTTAAGCAAGCATCCCAAAGGTGAAGTGTTTAATTTTTTTCTGATCTTTGCACAGTACTTTGAACAAAGTAAGTCTTAAATGTCTGTTAAATTGAATCTGCCTAATTTTGAGGGAAAACCTCCCATGGGGCCTTCCCCACCAAAAACAATTTCTTGAGTACCATGAGATGTCATCAAGGATAACACCGGGGGGGGGGGGGGGGGGGGTGGACATGGATGGACACTGCCTCCCATTATAAGGTCAAGTACTCCTAATCCATCCCAAGGCCCGGGGGCACACCTTATGGTCTTTGCCATCCACCTCATACACCGATATGTTGTTCTTTCGGTAGATTTCCTTGCCAGGTGGCTGTCTCCACTGGCACTGCCCCTGGGGTGGAAGAACAGATGAGTTTGAGTCTTATCATGGGATTAGCTCTGAAGGCAGAGAGGCAGTCCAGCACGCAAGTGGGAGAGCTTGACAACCAACACTCCCATAGCAGTTACATGAATCCTGGAACAGGAGTCAGAAGAACCAGAGTAACTTAGCTTGGGCTTTGCTACTACTTCAATGTGTGACTTTAGGCAAGCTGTCTCTTTCTCTGGGACTCAGGCTGTCCATCTATCAAATGAGGAACATAGTCTGGACCAGAGGTTCTTTACCTGAGGTCCACAGAAAGGGGAGGGGAAGGGAGTGGGGGGAACAAGATTTTATTTTTATTTTCACTAACTCAAATTTAGCATTTCCTTCACTATTTAAAAACACTATTCTGAGAAGGGGTCCATGAGCTTCACCAGGTAATACTGCCCAATGAGTCCATGACTCCCAAAACAGTGAAGAACCTTTGATCGAGAGGCTCTCCAGGCTGCATTCCAACTAGTCTAGGGTTCTCTTTCTATCAACTACTTAGGCTCTGACCTTCACTAGCCCTGATGCTTCATCTGCCATGTTATAGGGAGAAATTCTGTCAAAAGATGTGGGTTCTGGTCCCTGCTACCACTAAGGGGACTGGAATAAACTGAATATATTATCTCTATCTTACCCACTTCCCCAATAGTTCTCCTGTCTATCCCAATCCCAAAGGTATTGCATGTGCCCCAAAACATGGTTAAGTGGGCCTCAGTGAGGTCTCACCAAATGGAAACGATAGCTCTTCTCAAATTTCATGTACTTCAGGCAGTATTCGCAGAGCCAAAGTTTGGGCTGTTTCCCATAATCTTCTGGGAATGGGGAGAAGTACCAGGCATCAATCTCATAGTTCCCGATATGAATCTTGTCCACATACTTCACCTTGGTAATCTGTGGGCAGAGACAGTAAAAGGCTAAAGGGAGACAAGTGAGTGGTGGCTTTTCATGATAACCCTAGGAGAGGGGATACATTCAAATGGTAGGGCAGTGAGAAGAGACCAGATCGACTGCAAGGGGACCCAGGGGCAGGGGTAGTGAAAGACCTGGTCTCCCCCCTCTGCCTGCTTACCGCCTCATGTTCCTTTTCTAGTGCTGCTGTTGTGGGATCCATTTCTGCATAGGTCTGGTTGGGAGAGGAAGAGGAGACAGGGAATAAAAAAAATTTTCACCTATCATACCCCCATCAAGTCACAGCTTCCCTTTAAAACTCACCACAATTTGGACATAATTTCCAAACTGTCTTCTACTACTACTGATCTCCATAATCCAACATGGGCCATTCCTATCTCTCTCTGCCCAAGATGTGCCTCTCTCCCTCCTCTTTGTCCTTCTATCCTAATCCTGACTGAGCTTCAAGACTAAGACCCTCTCCTACTTTGCCTTTTCTGACATTCTCTTGCAGAACCAGTCTGGCACCTGTTTAATGATGCATTCTCTCTCACCAACATTATCTGTGCCTGATTATCACTGACCATTTGCCGTTTACCGTACAGTACCGTTAATTTTTTCTTGTGTCTCACCTTGTTCTCCCCAACTAGACTGAGTTCTTCCAAGGCAGAAGGCCTACTTCAAGCATCTTTGTCTCCCATACAGAGAGAGTTTACATATAGCAGACAATTGAGACAAATTTGATCATGGACTAAGAATTAAGGATTGGAGCAGAACAGGAAGGGATAAAACTGGGCTTTGCTCTCCAGCAGGCTCTGGGAAATGTGAGTCCCTAGAAAGGATGCCTCATGAGGAGCATTGGTACAGGACATCGTTCACCCACTACACCCCTTCCAAACTAGACTACTCATAATTCCATGATCTCATCCTACCCTCTATGAAATTGGCAAATGCTATTTCCTTAGCCCTAAAACAATCTACTACTTCCTCCTCCCACTCCTTTATCTCTTGTCTGTTGAAATCTGTCTGTTCCTTCAAACGCAAACACAGGTCAGGTGCTACCTCCTCAATGAAACTTCCTGATTCCTTCTAGCTGGAAGTGGTCCCACCTGCCTTAAATCTCTCATGTATCCCACTTTTCTCATTCTCTTATTCAATTGATGTAAACTGTGCAGAGGTCTTATTGACCTACACGTAAACACTTGGTGGGAACTCACATACAGAGCCAAGTGCTAACAAACAACGGTTGAAGTTAAGTTAAACTTTAGAACAAAAAGGGGCTTGAGAAGGCTAACTTGGTCACCTTCTTCATGTTACAGAAGCAGATGCAGAAAGTTTAAGTGGTTTTTCAAGAGTGACCCAGTTAATCAATCAGTGGCAAAGCCTATCAAAGAGCTCCTATGTCCTGGCTCCCCCTCAGGCCTCCAAAGGTGGCTGCAGACCTTCTGCACATGGTTAATCTCATCATGTTTGCGCTTCTGGTTGCGGGTAATCTTGCGCTCAGGCTGCTCTGCCAGCTCACTTAGGTACTTCTCAGAGTTTTTCTGAACAGCTTCTTTCACTGTCTTGGTCAAGGCCAGGCGATTCTTGTCCACCCATTCATCCAGCGACGGTTAACTGAGAGAGGTGAGAAGTTAAGAGGAGAAAACGCACGTGTCCCACCCACCTCCCCATTCCAGGGCCTGTTCTCCAAGGTGCCCAGTTGGTTCTTCCTGGCCAGGAAAACAGTGTCTGGTCTACAGAAAATACAGGTACTCACAGCCCACATAATGGACATAGAATTCCTCTCGTCCTTCTTGGTCATTTACACGGGACTGAATCACCTCCGCTGAGTCTATAGAACAAGAAACCTTGAAGGATGAGGCAGGGATAAGGGGCAGGGATGGGGGCGGGGATGGCCCTTGGAGAGTAAGCACCCTCCCTTCCAGTGAGGACAGTTTCTAACTTCTCTGGCCCACTTGTGATAATCACCAGACCACTCCTCCCACCTTTCCCTGAGGCATACTCTTCTATTTTTTAACAGCTCTGTTAGGAAGCTATGGGTGCATAAAACTGAAATTTTCTTCCTAACCTGACCAATGCTCCAAATTCTGGCCCCTTAGACTAGACAGAATAAGTTTAATCCTTCTTCCAGATAATTGCCCTTCAAATACTGGGAGAGAACCATCATTCAGTCTTCTCTCCTCCAAGCTTGATACCACCAGCTCCTCAACCCATCTTCTTATGGCCCAGTCTCCACTCCTCACTTTCTTGATCATCTTACTCTGAACAAATTCTATTTTGCCAATGTCCTTCATAAAACAAGGGCTCTAAAACTGAATATTGTACTATAAATGTGGACTAAGACAAGTATAGCAGAATTATCAATTCCCTCACTGTTTACTAAGTACCAAAAAGTATGCAAGGCATTGTGTTAGTAAGGGGAAGGAATACTTGTATACAAAAAAAGTATGATATGAGGTAAAGTATTGAAAATCAACACAGGAGAGATCCAGACAAAGTGCTTTAGAAAAATGTGAAGGAGAAAACACTTTCAGTTGAAGGTGAGAAAGAGGGGAGATAAGGTTAAGGAAGGCTTAATGAAGGCAATGGAACTTGAACTGAGCTTTGATGTTAACAGCAAAAGAATATATTTCAGAATGAGATGAATAGTGAAAATGAACAAGCACAATTTACAAGGAGAACCCAGAAAGGTTACATGTGTTAAGGAATGTTTGGTTAACACATGACTTGTCCAAAGTCATACATGTAGTAAGTAGCAAGTCCCAGAATCAAACCTAGGTCTTCCGACTCCAAACCTCAATGGAAAGGAGCTACGTTGCCACTTGTGTTAGGAAAAAGCTCAGTTGGTTCAGTCTGGATGGAACATAAAAGTGTGTGAAAAGTAACACGGTAAAATAAGGTTGAAAAGGTAGATGGGAATAAAATTACAGAAGTCTTTGAATGAAAAAAGTCTGTATTCAGATAGGGACCATAGGTCACCACTAGAAAGGTTTTTGTTGTTCTTTTTAAAGCAGGGGAATGACATATACCTGTGGATTAGTAAGCTTATTTTGGCAGTTCTGTGAAAGATAAAAGGAGAGGCAGCATGGCATAACAGAGAGCTGACTGGCCTTGGAGCTTGGAACAAGTCGCTTAAGTCTCAGTACTTGAGGGCTATTTTCAAGAATAAAAATGAAAATGTGTGGAAATTCTCAGGGTAGCATAGATTAAATGACAGATCTAGAAAAACCTCTCTTCCTCCCCAACCCCCTCCCCCAAAAAATTTCGAAAGAGAAAGGCAAAGACTGCAGACAAATGAGATGAGTTAGGAGACAACTGCAATAATTGCTGGACCTGAAGTCAGGAAGATCTGAGCTCAACTCTGGCCTCAGACCTTGTATGACCCTAGGCAAGCTGCTTAACCCCTGCCTCAGCTTCTTCATACGCAACGGGGATAATAATAGCATTTATCTCCCAGGGTTATTGCGAGGACCAAATAAAATCATATCTGCACTATGTACATAGCAGCTATTATCATCCAGCTAGTTGGTCTTCCTGACCGAAGGGTCTTCCCACTCCAGTTCACCCTTCACTTGGCTGCCAAGGTGATCTTCCTCATCAAGTGCAGGTCTGACCATATTAGACACACACACTTTAACTCCAGCAGCAAATATATAAAATCTCGTTTGGCTTTTAAAGCACTTCACAACTAGGCCCCTTTCTAACTTTCCAGTTGTCTCATACTTAATGCTCCTCCATATACTCTACAATTCAGAAACATCAGGGTTCTTGCTGCTCTTCCCACAGGACAGCCCATCCTTGACTACATCCCTTTTCACTGATTGTCTCTTATGGCCAGAATGTTCTCCCTCTTTCTTTCTGCCTCCTGGCTATAAGACGAAACTCATAAACCACTTTCTGCAAAAGGCCTTTTTTGGTAACTCTTCTCCCTACCACTGCCTTCCCATTGAGACTGCCTCCCTTTTATATTGTACATCTCTTGTACATACACATGTACACAGTAGTTTGCATGCTGTCTCTCCAACAGAATGGGAATTCCATAAGAACAGGGAAATCCTCTGCATTAACACAGTGCCTGGTACAGACGAAGCACCTAATAAATGGTTCTTTACAATAAGGAGGCTAGTACAACGGTCCCTGGGAGATGTGACAGACCTGAGATAAAATGTCTGCAAATGAATGGAAAGGAGAAGAGATGATGATGGAAGGAGAAAGAAGTCAAAGATAAGTCTGAGGCTTAGATCTTGAAAAAGCAGTAGTACGTCTTCACATGCAGTTTTAGATTGCTTTAATGCTTTCAATGATGAGGAAACTGAAGGCCCAAGGAAATGTAGTGATTCATCCAAGGACATACAGGTAGCCAGGTCTTCTGACTCCAAATTCAACACTTTTTCCACTGCATTAGCAATGCCTCCAGCATTCATTCATTTCTCAATAAAATCAGCTTGACATAATGGAAAGACTGCTGGACACAGAATCAGGAAAGAACTGGGTTCAAATGCTGCCTAAAACACTAATTACTTGACCCTGGGTCACTTAAACTGAGCCTCTGTCTCTTCACCTGGAAAACGGGATTAACACCTCGGACTTTTGAGGATAAATTAGGTGACACGAATAAAAGTGCTTTTGCAAACCTTAAAGCCATATGGAAACGTCAGCTGCTTCTCCCTTTCTCTGGAAGGTTTTGGCTCCAGGTACCTTCCACCTCTCCTACCTTTTCAAGCTCAAGCCAGGCCATCAAACCCCAGCCCCTTCCCCCCGAACCCGGTGCTTTCATCTCTCAGGATGCCCCAGACAGGGGTTCCTCTGGGTCAGGTTTACTTCCGAAATCCAGGCCCTCCAGGAGCCAAGGTCCCAGCGGGAGGGCAACCCTGCCCAAACTCCCCCCCACACACACTCCGCGCTACTCCACACCCCCCGCCCTTACGCCAGGTACTATCCGGACGTCTGCAGAGGTAGGTTTCACCGATCTCCACCGTGACCTCGGGCTCGCCGCGGGCCGGGGCCGGAGGGGAGGCGCGGCCTGGGGGCGGGGAGGTGCCTTCAGCCACTGCTCTCTCCCCGCCCCCGGCCTCGCCGTCCCCCGGTGCTCCGACCGCGGCCGTTGTCGCGGAGCTTGAAGTCGCCATCGAACCGGTCGGAAGTGACGCAAGAATCAGGCGCCTCTACCCCGAAACTTCCGGGTCCCGTACGGCAGAATGGGGCCGAGGCGTGGGGGGAGGAGTCACGTGACGTAGCGCGCCGCTATTGACCCGCGGAGGACACGCACCGCCCACAAAAGGGCACAGTCCCTCACTGATTGGTAGCCACGGCCCGGGAGGCCTCGTTTCTCTCCCCCGCCCCCCTTCTTCCGTACGACATAGAAGTGCCCGGCATTAGCAAGCACGGACGCCCCCTTTGCTACGTCATGAAGACGTCTCAGTTTCGTCTAAGCTCCGCCTGTGGGTGCGCCTGGAGTTCGGAGCATTAGGGTGGAGAGGGGATTACATCTTCCTTTCTAACCGGAAACGCTGGAAATGAAGAATGGGTGGGTCGAATTGCATTCCCCGTTGCCCAGCAACGGCAGATGATGGCGGTAGCAATAACTTCTTGTTGGCACTGGCCTTTTTCCGCTTCAAGAATGGAACCCACCCCCAGGCCCTGACCTTCGCTATTTTCATGGTTTACAAAATGCGTTGCTGTCTACCACCCTGGGAGATAGGTCGTGCAAGAACGATTGTCCCCATTTTACAGATGCAGAGGCCGAGGCTCTAGAGAGGTGAAGCAACTGATCCAAGGTCCCACAGCTAAACAAGAGACAGAGCTGGTATTACTCTAAATCCAAGCCCAGACCTCTTGCCAGGACACCACGCTGCCTCTAGGGTGGTGCCAGTTCAGCTCCCAAAGATCTTAAGAGGTTGTGAAAATTAGAGTTCAGACATTGCTGTGGACAGCTGAAAAGAAAGGGAGGCTTGAATGAGGAGGCCTTAGAACCTAGGGACCTCTCCTCAGAATTTTCTTACACGTTTAAAACAAATTACATAGCGCTAAAGAAGAAATTAAAGTCGTAGTTTTTTTCCTGCCCAAGTTCACAGCCACATTCCTGGCCCACAAATTCATCTGTGAACTCCAGTTTAAGAACCCCTGGTCTATAACCCTCCACCCCTGAACTGCCAACAAGCCCCCTCAACTTGACAGTATTTCAAGTATCTGAACAAGCCTGAGGAGGGTTAATCTCAAGGACTAGGTGTGTGTGTGGTCCTGGGTAACTCTCTTGTGGCTGGTCTTCTAAGAACAAGGGAGTTAGACCATATAGCTCAAATACATACTATGTATTTGGACAGTTCAAAGCAAGGCACTTTGGTCTTTTCTTCCCCACTCCCTAAAGTTCTCAAGGCCTCCTCTTTTGGGAAGCCTTAGTAATGAGCTGAATTCATAGAATTTGGAGGAGGGGAAGGGAGAAGTTCATAGAAGGATAGATAGAAGGTAGTGAATGACTTTCTGGAGTTCTGGTCACCTGAACTATGGGTCAGGATTCCCTCTGAACATCCTCCTGAGAGAAAGAAAGACACGTCAAAGTTATGAGAGGGTGGGGCTGTGTGGCTGTGTGTTTACACTCAGGGTGACTAGGGACTGAATTAGCTGTCATTAATGAGCCAATAAAACCTAGAGATAGGAAGCAGGGAATTCCACCTGTCTAGACTTGACACATCAAGGGATTTTTCAAGGGGGAGAATAACATTACATCTGCCACATTTCCTCCTTACTTATGAGTGTCTCATTTAAAATCCAGCCTCCTTGCCACTTCTATCCTAGTTTTCCCTGCTGTCCCTTACATCTTCCTTCTTCCTATCTTCTGGCCCAAATTCCCAAGTACCCTGCAGCCAGAAGCCTGCTGGCCAGGACTCATAAGGACAGGCAGGAGGCCAACCAGGGTGTCACAACCCAGCCGAGGACAAGTATTTTTAACAGCCACCTGGGATCAGAATGTCAGGTGGCCCCCTGTGACCTCATTAATTTTGAACAGTGGAAAGGAAATAGAATAAAGAGCCTTGCGGAGAATAAGAGGAACCTGAGGATATCATAATTGACAATTATTCCCATTTTAGAAGAGATAAACTGAAGATCTCACCAGACATTCCTTCTCACTTCTAACAGGCCTCTGGCCCCACAAGGGAACTAGCAAAAAGACAGAAGACCCCCAGAATTAGGGTTAGAACTCCCGGGGAGGATTTCTTAGTTATGACAGGAGAAAAGCCCAGGAGAGAGGATGTTGTTGAAAGAACAAGATTTCAAATCAGAGAAGAGTACAAATCTCTCTGCTACTTGTTACCCCAAGTGGCCTTAGACAAGTCACTATTTCCTGAGCTTCAATCCTGTCATTTGTAAAATGAAGGGGTTTGGTCTAGGTGATCTCTAAGGTTTTTACCAGCTCTAAATCCTATGAAATGGATGGTTGCTATCCCCATAGATCTCCTCAAAAAGGAAAGTGTGCCCCACCCCCAGCCAGGCGTACCTGTCTGTGGACAAGGGGGAAGAGCCAAGGTGACCCTCACAGCTTTGTCCTGGGAAAAGGCAGGCAGGAAAGTCTGGCTGTCCCCCAGCCAGCCAGGACACACACACCGTGCCCTGGCTGTCCCCCAGCCAGCCAGGACACACACACCGTGCCCTGGGGGAGGGGCTTTCAAAATGTACACTTTAATATTACAAACACAGCAGTAGAGGGGGGAGGGAAAGAGGGTTCACGGACCCCCAAACCCACTTTCCCAGCAACATGTATGATGAAGGAGACCTCTGAGGCCCCCAGATGCACCTCCCCCCCCATCATCCCCAGCTCTGGGCCAAAAAGCCACAGGCAAAGAAGATAGGAAAAAGGAGGAAGGATATGAAAGGAAGGACTGCAGTAATTGGTGGGTGGAAATTGAGTTACCAACCCTGGTCTAGTGGGCTTGGGGGAGCTAGGAGTCTAAGTCCTGACTGCCCAGAAACCAAGGTGCAACAGCAAGAGAAAAAAGGTCCAGAGATCTGAAGCGAGCCATTAGCAAAGGTCGTGAGGGGAGCTTCTGACTCACAATACTTCAGACCAAGTTTCAAGACCTGGAAGGAAGGAGCAGGGTTGGGGTGGGGGTGGGGGTGGGGGATGGAGAAGGACAGTATTATGTTGAGAGAGGGAAAGAGGCAGGGGATTTCCCCTGGCAAGTCCCAGGGGGAGGGCCCAGACAAGGCCAGGCTAATGGGTCAGATCCGGAAGCTCTCTTCTTTGCCATCAATGTGCCGAAGTCGTAGGTAGACGTCTGTGCCAATCCCTTGCAAGGACTGGAGCCGAAGGGAGCCACCTAAGTATTCTGCATAGGCCCGGGATGTAGGCAGACCAAAACCAAACCTGGAGGGATGGAAACAATGAGTGTGACGTCCTAAACATCCTAGCCCTTTGTCTCCCCCTTCCCTCCATGAAGACCTCCAAAATTTGGGAAGGGGGAAGCCTCACCCATGCATAGGTCCTGACTGGCCATTGCTGTTTGTATCCAGGTGACCAAAAAGTGGACTGATTCGGGGGTCCTGAGTGCTGGCCTCGGCCGTGGTGAAATGGTAGTCCATCACTTTGTCCAGGTGGTGGTGAGCGATGCCCCCACCCCGATCTGAAATTCTAACAGAAGCCAGCCACACCAGGCTAAGGCTATTTGCAGGGATCACTTCTACCAGAAGACCTTCCCTTAGTAAACCACCCACCTCAAACTTCTCCTGTGCTCTGGATTTCCTGGGCTTGCAGCCATGTTTCCTTGGCATACAAATCAGACTTATCTCTTCTAGGACAGCCCATCTGATCTTATCTTCCCTATAACCTCCCCTTCCCTAGACTCCAGGGCTTGGGATCCTGACCTTTCCCACTTCTGGCGTTAGCCTCCCACCACCCATACCCCAGTCTCCTTGCACTACTCAGTGGGCCCCTAAAGCCCATCCCCATCCAAACCTGATTATGAGGTCAATATCATTATTGGCAATAGTGATGACAATATCTGGGACATTGTACGGAGTGTCTAGATGGCTTTCCATTGTGGCCCTGGGATAGGAGGAGCAAACCCAGGTGGGATTATGGTTAGCAATCCTCCCTTCCCACAACCCTTTCCTCAGGACCCTGGCCCCACCTCATGGCATTCTTCAGAAGCTCGGGAAGAATGTAGTCCAGGGGCATTGGGATGAAGGGGAACCGGGCAGCCACATGGCCATTGATTCGAACTCGAGGGGCATTCCCATACTTGTGTTCACACAGCCTCCTGGGGAACAGGACAAGGGGATGGGGGACCTCAGCCTGCTCGGTCTCCTCAGGTGGTCCTCCTTCCAGTTTCCCTTCCCTTGTCCTCCCCTCACCTGGCAAAATCCACCCACTTTTCAATGATCTTCTTTGGGGAGAGTCGAGTACAGATGATCCCTACAAAGTCAGGCTGGAAGCAGGAGGAGGTACATGGAGGTTGAGGGGTTAGACATAGGCAGCTCCCTCCTAGCCAAGAAACCCTCCCCCAGCAGACTCAGCTGTCTCCAGCTCAATCTCAAGCCTGAAGCTCTGACCTAAGAGATTGTTACCTGATCCCTATTTCCCTCCTAGAACATCATGAGCTACCCTGTCCACCCCTCCAGGCATGGCACCTTGTCCTCATGCAGGGCCAAGTGATGGGTGGCCAACATACGGATCCCCAGCCGTGATGTCAATGTCTTATCCAAGAAATATCGGACCAACTTCTCATCCTGAGAGGGAAGGAGAAGACACCCAGGGATGTGGACCTCTTTCCTTCTTTCTCTTCAACCCAGTCCTGGGCTCTCTGGATGCAGCCCTTCATCCCTCTTAAGATGGCTACGGGGCCTTACCTGGATATGCTTCCGGCACTCCCGAAGTCCCTCAGCTAGAAGAGTTACCACATCTTTGTGATCATCCAGGAGCTGACGGACCAACTGGCAATACTGGGCCTCAGATGCCTGGTCCTTTATCTGGGGGTCACCAAGGTTATCACACAGTCCTGAGTATACAAGGTGCCTCTCATCTACGAGCTCCCTTCTCTGAAGTCCTTACCCTTCTAATACGCCCTCCAAACCCCAGACTGTTCCCTTCCAGAAATCCCCACCTCCCCAGGATTCCCCCAGCTCACCGGAGCAAAATCGCTCAGCTTCTGGAAGGCTCGGATATAGAGTTCATGCTGAAAGGAAGGCAGATGGTAAAGGAAGAAGAGAGGAGGATTACAGGGGGAACTAATGATTCCTTGGCCCCCTCCTCCAGCTGCCTTCTAGCCTCTCAGAGCCACTCAGTGCCCCACAGGCACACATCATCTCCTACCCCAGATCTCTAGCAGTTAAAGAGGCAGTGTGCTATAACTCTATACTTTTAGTGGGAAAAGGCCTAAGACAGGAATTAGAACCTAGTCCTGGCTGTCCCTCTAACTGGCCACATGCCCTTTGGCCAGTCCCAAACTCTTTGGACCTTGGTGTTCTGGAAAACAAGGCGCTGGCGACTAGACATTGCCAAAGTACCTTCTCTGGCCAGTTCCATGTGATGGGTGTCAGTGGCCGAAGTAGACCAGAATCAGAGTGCCAGGGATGCGATTTGATATTTTTATGGCACTATGTCTACTTCTTCACCTCTTCTCCCAACCCTCCCAGCTAAGTCAGTCTCTCCCTGCCGCCCTTTCCCCATGGCTGCTTATGTTTAGTTTCTACTTCTCCAGAAGCTAGAGTGTCCTTTTCCCCTGGGCAGGATAAGCCTGTTTTTACCACATGGAGGATGGTAGGATTGCAGCCAATGATGAAAGGTAGACTTCGGAAGCCCTTGATCCGGTGAGCTATACGAACAGGCAGCTCGTGATGTAGGTAACGGGCACTTTTCTGGAAGGCAAGGATGTACATGTGTGATATGTTGAAAGCTCAGATTCCTGCAGGATATAAAATAGGAATAGCAGTGGAGTGGTGAATGATTGAGGGCCTCAAGGGGAGGAACCACAGGACCCTTACCAGCAGATGGCTGCCATCCTGGGAACGGCCTGAGTACAACATCATGGTTGGAGTGAGACGGACAGAAGGCTGAAAATATGGACAGATGGCTGATAGCTCCCCAACATATACCTTGCTACTTCCTCCAAACTCTCCCTACCCTGGCATACCCTCTTCCTCTACCATGGCCCACCTTCTCGGCTGCCGCATCAATGGCTGACTGGTTGTAGAAAGAGGTGACGGTCTTGGATCGCTCTCTGGCCAGTTCCATGTGATGGGTGTCAGTGGCCGAAGTAGACCAGAATCGGAGTGCCGGGGATGCGAGTGGCCAGAGTGGGGAGCCCCCACGGTGGCCACTCCCCAGCACTGATGCTAAGAGCATCGTCCTGTCCCCACCTGTTTATTCTTCCTGTTGGGCCTCCAAGTGAACCCAGGAAGTGGGACAGAACAGGCTGGGTAGGGGGGAGTGGGCTTACCTCAGACTTAGGGGGGAGGACAGGAAACAGAGGGCAGGCTTGGTAGACGCACTCCCATCTGATGGAAGAAGATTGAGAAAAGTGTGACCATGAGGACAGAACCACCTCCAGGGATTTTCCTGAAATTGTTCTGGGAGCATCCTTACCCTGGGACCCCAAATTAGAGACAGAGTTCCCTGCTAGAGGTACCTCTTGGCTCCAGCCCCAAGGAGAAGAGCAACCAAGGAGGTGGGGGGAGGAGGGCAGAGGCTGACCCCTTTTTCCCCTTCTGCAGGCAACAAACTTCAGCAGCCTGGGAACAGGCAGCCTCCTGAGGACAGCTAGGTTGGACCCTGGTAGAAAAGCACCAAGCACGCTGACAGCCCTCAAAGATGATCTATGCACAAAAGAGCAGGCACAAAGATGACCCACCGGAGGTGGTGGTGGGGGGGCCTGGTCATCCATGAACAACCAAACCTGGGAGATGGGGGGAGGGGGCTCCCCGAGTTCCTCCACCCTGAGGACACCTACGCTCCTCTCCCCCTTCCCTTCTCCTCCACGCTACCCCCAAACATATGGTAGCGCCCTGGTAACCTCCAATGCCCTCCTTTCCTCCACCCCCCACCCCCCCAAGTCGGCGCAGTGGTAGATCCCTCCTCAGGGTCTGCAATGTAAGACCCCATAATGGTAGGGTCCGCGTGGGGGGTGTGCCATGTGAGGTCCGCACTTACCACCCGGGCCAGGAAGGGAGGGGGGCGAGGAGCAGAGCGGATCGGACCCGGTTGCCAGAGAGAGACGACAAAGCCGAACCAAGCAGCCTGCGCCCTCTGCTGCTGCCTCCCCCAGTTCTCCCTCCGACCCTCCTCCTCCTCCCAAGTCCTCCTCCCTCCTCCCGTCTCCGGTTCCTGCGTGATGACGTAGGCGAAAAGAAGCCTACTCTGAGGGACTAGGACCTCCTGGGAATTGTAGTTTCTTTGGCACGACCTCTCTGAGGACTCCGCAGCCAAGGAACGAGGTTTTGGAGGCGGTGGCGGCGTCGGGGGGGGGGGGGGGGCAGAACGACGGAATTGACCTCTGGACTTCTGCTCATGATGTCCCCTCAGGCTCCGAGTGTTCTCCTTGCCAGCGGAGTGACTGCCC